GGCGGCCGGGCCACTCACCTTGCAAGAAACAAAATGTGCTGTGAAGCAGGAAAGTACATCCCATCCTGTACTTTCATACTGCTCAATGCATCTCTGCACGCTTATCCCAAGTGCTGCCTCATCTAATCTCACCACAGGAATCACAGCAACATTTCAGAGAAGGAAAAGGTCAAGGGCTTGGGTCAAAGTCACCACAGCAGTTAGTCGGGGTCAAAGATTGCAATGAGCATTTCTCTTCTTCTTCTTCCTGCCCCAGATGATTCGACTTAACAAGGCCAAGGAAAGCTTAAGTGGGTCATCATCCCCGACTTTCCTTAAACCTCAGCAGGGTGGGAATGGCTAAGACGAGGAGAAATGCCGAGTGTGAGCTTGTATCACCCCCTGTCTGCCTACCCAGAGACTGTCTATGTGAGTGAGATGAACACAAACCCCAGTACAGTGCAACTGAAACACTTTTATGAAGGCTGCCTGAGAAGTAATCTACTGACTTGGAGAGTATTCAAGGGATCATACAGGAAAGTCATGGGCTCCTCCCCATGTAACCATCTCCAGAGACCTAAATAAAAAGCCAATTTAATGCAAATAAGTGGAGAGATGAGCTGCCCAGTAGGCAGGTCCCGAGAGACTGATCACTGGGATACTCAAGCAGAGTGAGGCTGAGGGCGGAACCTTCCAGCTGGTATTAATGTTGACCTGGATTACATCCCATAATGAGTTATGCATCCAGAATTACCTGAGGGAAGGGGTGTGTCAGCAGTGCCATCAAGGGTCAGTGACTCTGACCTCCCAGGCTTCAGGGTCCCTTGCAGAGATGACTGAAAGCAAGTGCACAAAGCGCAGATGAAACTGCTACAGGCTGGGACCTCGGGAGCCACTGGAATGTCCATTTCCTGCAGCCTGCCTATACTGAGGTTTAATCTAGATAACATTTGACAAAAGGGTCAGGGTGAGATTAGGAGATGACGATTAACCTCTAGGGGTCTATCTCATTTGTACAGCTGTTCCCCCACTGGATACTCCCATTCTTCTAAGGCCAAGGGCTGAGAGTGGGAACCACATTGCTCTGCATTGAGCTTCCAGACCACTGCCCACCCTCCCTTCCTCAAAAGGCTCTCACCTGGGAGATGCTATCCTGTCATGCCTGCTTTCCCCTCTGGCAGGTGCCACTGGCCTTGTGGCCACTCCTCGTGTTCACCAAGGATGCTGACTCCTAGGTCACACCATCCTCCTCAACATCTGTTTGTTTCTTGCTCCAGCACCCACGTGGAGGCTCACCCTGCCCTCCAGCCTCACCAACCCTAGATCTCACTTCTTAAGGCTCCTCCCCTGGCTCTGGCCAGCAACCCCAGGTCATACCCTCTATTTTGCCTTTTCCTGAGATTGCTCCTCCTCTCAATTTCCAAAGCACTCCTGTCTGGCTCAAATATACCTCCTTGCCCAACCCCTTATCATACTGGAGTTTCTATCTTGTCAAGACCTCTAATTTCCTAATCCCTCCCTAGTCACCTCCGGTTTTCAGTTTCCATCTTGGTCAGATTAATCCTCAGACCACACATTTCATCACTACAATTTCTCCTGTGCATATCATCTGAATTGCCCCATCTTTCTCTCACCTCCTATACTCCCCTGGAAAAAAACCAACACTGCAGTAAGCATCTCCATCCCAGCTCCTGAATCCTGATGAGTGGAAGACAGGTGCGTGCAGAGCCCCACTCAACACACACACACCTGAGTGCCCAGCATCCTACTCTAAACTGACCATCTCAGAGCTCAGCCTTGCCCTGCCCTTCTGCTGTTTCCTTAATCAACCTGATTTCAACACCTAGGAAAACATCTACTTCATACCTTCTGAGAACGTGCGCCACCCACATCTAGCTGATAGTCTCACTTCATTTCACAAAGAAGAGATTCAAACTCCTTCATCATTTCCCCATTAATTTAGTCATCCTAATCTTCTGTACTTGCCCCTTTCTGTTTTATTGAGCTCTGTGAGGCTGCAGGGCTGTGTCTCTTCCTACAAAGGTCCCATCCCTCCTCCTTTCTCATGAACTCTGCTCATTCAGGGGTCCTCCTCTTCATGCCCCTCCCACCTCTCTCATCACACCATCTTGACTGTTGCCATCAGCATTGGCATGCTCTACCTCCCACCTCAAACATGCCTTGACTCCACAGCTCTCTAGTTATTAACCTGAGCCCCTTTAGGGCCAACTTCTCACATGCTCTATTCCCCCACTTTCCATTCACTCAACCAATCCAGCCTGCCTTCCACACCACCCTTCCTAAAATTGCTGCCATCATAGTCATCAAATACTTCATGTTACTGAATTCAATGGACAGTTCTGCCTGTTTTAGTGAAACCCTCACAAGCACTCCACATAGTCCACTTTCTGTCTTTAACGTGCCTAGTTCCCTCTGCCCAAACTCTTAGGATTGGGCTTCCTCAGGGCCTTGTCCTGAGTCCTCTTCTTTTTGTCTTTCCATGGATTACCTCCTCCAGTCTATGTTTTTATACCACCTTTATGTACATGTGAAGGCAGGGCAGCATTAGACTGGGGTGGGTCAATTCCCTTCTGATAGTCTCAGAGTCTCAGGCATCCCAAAGATGAAAGCTCTGGAGGACAGACACCAGTACTCACAGGTCTCATGTCCATGCTCCGTCCAAGGAGACCTAGCCACTTCCTTACCCCTCCTGCTCAGTTTCAGAAGAAAAGGATTGGGGATTGCTTGGGCTGTTCTCCCACCTTTTAAGAGCCAACTGCCTTGGTCACCATTCAAGACAAGAGCAAATCTATTTTCAGGAAGCACAGGGGGGCCTCTGCTTCTCTATCCTCCCTAACAAATAGGCTGGGCTAGACCCTGGAGGGCAGCCATGGAGGAGTGTGGGAAGGACTCACCCTTGCTTCAGAAGTTCCTTGCAATCGGGGACCAGGGTGTGGTGACAAATGCCACTTCATGGTTACAGTGGACATGACCAGCGGAAGGTGTCAGGCTGTGTGTTGTTACAGATTGTATATTTGCATGCCTGGGGGTTACTAGGCTGTATGCATATAAACAGGGAGGAGGCAGGCTCTGAGAACCTGCCAGCGTGCCTGGGATGAGCTGTGAATTTTTGCCCCTGATGCCATGAGTTGGAAGGGCCTCTACTCAAAACATATGGTACACACTTCTCCTTCTTTTAATCTGGGATCATGTGTCATCTCTCAGGTCCAATAAGAAAACATTCCCACGTCCTTCCCTCCCTCCCTAGTACCAAAGTCCTCATCTCAGTTTCCATGGGTCCATGGAGGGCTGCCTCTAGTGATGAGCTGGAATTTTAAGGCCTGAAATAGAGCCAGACTGCAGCAGTCCCAAGTCTTGGAGAGCTTCAAGTAACTGCTCCCGGGCAGAGCCAATAAAGGAATTCTCCAGGAAGGTAGGCAGGCCTCCCACACCATCCCGCAGGGTATACAGGGGCACTCGCACCAGGCCCAGCACCTGTAAAAGGAAGGAGACAGGAGACACTGGGGCCCCAGGTGGCTCATTCCCTTAACTCCATCCTCTCTCCAGCAGATATTTCTAGAGCAGAGGCCTCACCCCTTAATACTCCAGCAGAACCAGGCCCAAGGCTCACACCTCACTAAAGCCTAGTGGCCCAACCTTCTGCAGGAAAATGACCCAAAACATGTTATCTAGCTCTATCAGTTAATCTTTCCCACATCTGCTTCTAAGCCTCTAATGGCTCCTGTCTCAAAGATGTATTCATACCCTTTCACCAGTGGTTGTCAAAATGTGGTCCTCGGATTATCTGCATCAGCATTATTTGGGAACTTTTGAAAATTGCAAATTGTCAGGTTTCCTCTCCCCCCGCCCCGCCACCAATGCAGGAATGCTGAGAGAAATCGCTATTTTAATAAGACACCCAGATGATTCTACCTGCCAAATTTTGAGAACCACTTTCATACATAATCTGTCTACTAGCCCTGCCTGAAATATCAGGGCCACATCTCCTGCACAAGAAAAGCAAACCCCAAGAATAAAACCTAGGTTGCCACACCTAGATAATGTGATCATCTATCACACTGTCAACAGGGAACAGCAGAGAGACACGGATGAGTGTGTTCTAGAAAGGATCTCTCCTGGTAAAGGGTGGGAAAGACCTTTACACAAAGCCCAGGTTGGCAGTACTAATTCAAAGTAGAGATGACCACGATCTCAACTCCACCAAGAAAACTGGGGAGAGGGCAAGGTCAGAGGGGCAAAGACTTTTCTCCAAGGATGCTTTCTTGAGGTAGAGAAAGCTTCGGGAGAAGAGGAAATTGGGAAAGGGACAGAGTCCCAGGCTGGCCCCACCTCCAGCCCGTGGTCCTTGGCGCGTGTTGCGCCGGCCTCCACAGCCAACAGCTGCTCGAGGGTCAGACGCTTGGCATAGAAGTGGGCCACAACGCGTGGCCCTGACCCGGCGTGGGAGCTGCGGTAGTCAGTGCGCTCCACGCGGAAAGCGGCCGCCGCCTCGCCGAGCTCCTCGCGCAGCTCGCGGTTCAGCCCGTCCTCTAGGCTGCTGTCCTGCGTGTCCACGAATCCGCCGGGGAAGCCCAGGCGTCCATCGAAGCGCATCTGCATCTGCGAGAGGGGGAGGCAGGGATTGGTAGGGGAGCCCCAGAAGGGACCCCCAGAGAGGGTGCGGGGCTCAGGCAGAAAGTGGCCGGGCGCGCCCCCTTCTCACCAGTACGGCGTAGCGCAGCGGGATGCGGCCGAAGAGCATGCCAGGGTCCGGCGCGTAGAGGAGAGCATGGCATGCATGGCGCCAGCCCGACCCCAGCGCCAGGGCCTCGCCCAGCTCCAGCCTGCGGGCCCCGGCCATGGCGGGACACTGCTCCTCTGCTGTCCGGAAGGCCCAAGTGGGCAGAGGGGCGGGTCTCACCTCGGACCAATCCGAGCCTGGGCGGTGCCGCAAGGCCCAATCCCTGCAGGAATAAGGGGAGGAACCTAGGCGCCTTAGGACCCGGCGCCGCGACTGGTGCAGGAGGCAGCTAATCAGGGCGGGACTTGTAGACCTGGTTGAAGTCCAGGGCCCAGGAACGCTAGGGAAACCGAAAGCAGCCTCTGGGTTGGGCCTGCGGTGGGGCGGGGCTGGGGGTGTGGCCGCGCCCTGAACCTGGAGCAAGGCCAGTACATAAAGATTCCTGGGAACCGAAAGAGCAAGACAGGGAAGTAGCTTTGGTTGGGTTTCGTGGTACACAAAGCACAAGGCCTGGGTTGGGTTCCGAGGAAATGAGACTTGCGGCGGGGCGGGGCTGAAGGTGTAGCAGCGCCCTGAACCTGGAGCAAGGCTGGTACATAAACGCCTATGTCACAATCTGGAGTCATCTGGAGTGTCCCAGCAGGTGAGGAAGAGCTGGGGCGCTCAGTTGAGTGCTGAGAGCCAAAGAAGCAATAAGTACGTTTGGTTGGGTGTGGTGGTACACAAAGCACAAGGCCTGGGTGGGCGTTAGGAGGAAATGAGGCAGGGTTGGCCTCAGACACCAAGGCCCATCCTAGGGAAATGGGGATGGAGAGGCGCCATGGTCTAACAACTATCTTGAGTGGTGAAACTGAGGGGACTTGGTGACTGAGTGAATGGGGAAGAGGGAGCGCTGGGCTAGTGGTGGTTCAGAGTTTCCTGGATGTGGTGTCATTTTCTGAGAGGGGGAGAGTAGGAGAAGGGTGAGCAGTAGTAAGTGTAGTTCTAGTCAGGAATTGGGGTGGCCATAGGCAGTGGGCAGCTGATCGTGGGGATCTGACACACAGGAAATGGCACATGGGGAAGTCACAGGGCAGTGAGATTTTCAGGGGAAGTGTGGGGGTGGAAGGAGCTGTGAGTGAAATCCTGTGGCCCAGGACTGGGAGTGAGGGGTGAGAGGTAGAAGCCTCCTAGGCTTTCTAGTCTCTTTCCCTCAAACACCCTCAGACCTTTGTGCTGTCAAGGAGGGTGTGTTACCCTACCCCTAGAGCAGAGGCCTACTCAGGGCCTGATGTTGAGGAGCAGGGATTTAGGATCCCTCACTCCAGGCCAGGTCTTCCCCAACCTGTAGAGCGCCCCTACACCAGGTGTCGATATTGATTATGCAATAGAAAGCAGAAGGCAGCTCCTTGAGGGAGCCTGGGCATAAAGTCACAGGCTGTAAGTGACAGCATGTGGTGGGAAAGAGTCCGGACCCACCCAGAAACAGGCTTGTGCCCTTAACAAGTCACTTAACTCTCTCAGATCCCAGCAGCTCATCTGTTAAGTGGAGATGATACCAACCTATTAGGGATGCTGAGATATGTAAAGCACTTAGAACAGTGCCAGGCAGAAAGTAAATGTAGCCATTCTTGGAGTTGAGGGTTGGGGCACAGTGCTATGTTTTACGTTGAGGACCCAGGGCTGGACACAGTGGCTCATACCTATATTCCCAGCACTGTGAGAGGCGAGGTGAGAGGATCATTTGAGGTCATGAATTCGAGACCAGTCTGGGCAATATAGCAAGACCCCATCTCTACAAAAAATAATAATAATAAATAAAGACCCAAGTGTTGGAAATGAGCTGCACTCATCAGGCTCCCGTGTTCGAAGGAGGGATGAGACTGTATGACATCATCTTTCCTAGCTTAGTCTTCTGAGTTGTGGGGCAGAGATATTATCTACTAACATGAAGCAACTGCATTAAGGTGATGAATCTGTAGATATGACACAACTATCATTAGCCTGCTGGAGTTCTAGGGGGTTTGGAAATAGCCCTGCTTTAACATTAGAGTCACCTCGCGAAAAGCTTATAAAAATTTTTAAAAGCTGCCACTTTTTCCTACCACAGATCAATTGAATCAGAATGTATGGGGGTCATGCAGGGGGTCATATGTGGTTTTTAAAATGTATTTTAGGTAACTAATAACCAGGGTGGAGGACCAGGGCCTTCCCCCTTCTACTAGCATTCCAAAGGCGACTTGGTTTTTCTCCTAGATAGGCTACCTTTAATGATTTAGGATCAAACATGCCCTTTCCAGATCTTCAGGCTATTCTTTCTTTCCTGGTTACTTGAGGAGACTTTAAAGATGGACTTTTAAAGATGTACTTCAAAGATTTCGAAGGCAACATGAAAAACTGTAAAACCAAGGCAACAGCTATACGAGTTTTAACGATTTTGGAGATCAGAGCTTTTTCTAGATGAATATGATAAATATGGAAATCCTTTAGAGCCCCCAACCTTGCCATCCCTTTCAAATCCTTCTTTGCCTCTGCCCCACCTCCCCACCCCCACCAACCATCCCCCATTTCACTATCCTAAGGCAGAATGCCCAGGACTCAAGGCTGCAGGTAGAGGGCTGAGCCATGTACCTAAAGAGCTGCTCCAAGTTCATAGTGGTACACGGAATCAAAAATAACTCTGTGGTCAGCCTGGGAGGATTCTAGAAAACCAATCTATTATTTTTAAAATAATAATGAAAAGAACTAAGCATTTATCCTGCCTTTTTTATGTGAGCTCTTCCTCAGGGCCACCACATAGTTAATGAGAGGAAATTTTTCTCACAAAGTATTCCAGATGTAATCAAAGATGAAGGACAGAACCAATCAAAAATTTAACATTTGTTAAACTTTAAAGAATTAATGGAATCTAGGGAATGAGAAGAAATTTATCTCACAAAGTATTCCAGGTAGTCAAAGAGGAAGGACAGAGCCAATCAAAATTTTAACATTTGTTAAACTTTAGAGAATTAATGGAATCTAAGGAATGATTATCATTGGTTGCTAACATCATGAATAGACAGTTGTTATACACATTGTGATGAAAGAGCACACTACCTCCTTTGGATTATTTCTGCCAAAATATTGAACTATCATCTTAATCTAACAATTTATAAGAAACTCAAACGAATACTTATTTAAAATATTAGGAAGAGACTAAAATGATGTATGTAGTAATAGACTAGAGTTTGAAACATCAGTATGAATTCATTTTTAGCTTGATGTAGATATGACTATATATATATATACACACACATGCACACACATATGTGTACATACAAAGGTTAGTGTGCACACATATTTCCTTCCTCTGTCAGCTGAGTGGACTTAGAAGCAATGATATTCCAATAGCAACAAACACAGCAACTGCCACATTTTGGTTTCTAACACCATTTTCCATAAAAGGAATCAAAGCCCTTTGGAGAAATGGCTGATTCTAACATTGGAAATACGCAACATGGATACACAATAAGCCTAAAGCATCTTGTGATGCCAGAAATTAAGGAAGTTCACCAAATAAAAAAGGACAAAAATCTATATCGATGGAGGTGTGTCAAAGAAACAGGGACACAGGGACCAACTGAAAATGTTTCTAGTGGCCAAAGCTGAAAGAATTTGAGCAACAAAATAAGTAGTATTGGATTATAACTTGAAGTATCAAATAAATATCTACAGGCCCATACTGATAATACAAATAAATAATGAAAATTTATTAGTAAATAAATGGAGAAGAGAAAAGCATCCTGTGCAAAAGAACTGGAAATAATTCATGTAGCTACTCTGCCCTCAAGGAGGTGGAGCATAACTCCCACTCCTTGTGGGTTGTGAATAATGACTTCCTTCCAAAGAGTGCAGTGTGAAAATAGGAGAAGGAGTAACTTTGTAACTTTGTGGAGAAACCTGATAAACACTACCTTGAACACATGATCAAGGTCAAAATCATCATTGACAAGTCATGTTGGTAGAATGTACCCTTAATACGAAGTAATGAAAATGGTACTTTTGTCTGTGATTTTCCTCCAAAAAGACATAATCCTTCTCTAACCATGAGAAGAGCACCAAGCAAATCCCAGTGAAGGGACATTCTACACAATACCCGACCAGTAAGCCTCAAAATTGTTATTGTCTTAGTCCATTACAGCTGCTGGAACAAAATACCACAGATTGGGTGGCTGAGAAACAATAAATACTTGGTTTCTCCCAGTTCCGGAGCCTGAGAAGTACAAGATCCAGGTACTGGCAGATTTGGTGCCTACTGAGGGCCACTTCTGGGTTCATAGAAGATAGTCTTGTGCTGAAACCTCCGTGTGAGAAGGGGTGAGGGAGCTCTCTAGGGTCTCTTTTATGAAGTCACTCATTTCAGTCATGAGAGCTCTGACCTCATGACCTAATAACTTTACAAAGGCCCTACTTCCAAATACCAATACAATTGGAGTTAGGATTTCAACGTAAGAATTTGAGAACAAAAATATTCAGTCTATAACAATCATGAAGTGTAATGAAAGTCTGAGAAATTCTCACAACAAAGATGAGCCTAAGAAGACATAACATGACTAAATGGAATGTGGTATCCTAGAGAAGAAAAAGGACATTAGAGAAAAACTAAGGAAATCTGAATAAAGCATAGATTTTGGTTGATGATAATGTATCAAAATTGATTTATTATTATAAGAAATGTTTTATAATAATGTAGATGTTAATTATAGGGTGAAGTAGGTAGAGTATATGGGAACTCTCTGTACTATTTTTATAAATTTTCTGTAGATGTAAAACTTCTAAAAAATAGGTTTGTTTTAAATCAGGAGAATACAAACAGTGAAATATATAATGAACAAAAATTTAAAGGAAAAATGACCTGATTTCTTTAATAAATAAATTACAAAGGGAAAAAAGACATGGTGGCAGAATCTATACATTAAGAGACTGAGGAAACATACCAATTGAAGCAGTTGGTTTATTTGAATCCTAATTTGTCCAAACAAATTTATTGATCATTGTTTGAGGTGCTAATAGTATGGTGGCTGTTTTGTTAGGGTTCTTTATCTATTAGAGATACATACTAAAACATTTGTGAATGACGTGATAAAAGTAATTCAATGAGGGGGCAGAGGCTGAAGTTATAAATAAAATAAAATTGGCCATGAATTGATAATTTTTGAAGCTGGGTGATGATGGGGCTATTAAGGACTTATGTTATTCTGCTTACTTTTACTTTTATATAGCTTGATGTTTCCATAGTAAAAAGTTAAAAATGAAAAGATCTTGGGCATCTCATGAAGTAAAGGTAAAGGTTATCATTTACATTTGAATAAAACTTTGCATTTCACAAAATTCTTTCACAGACAGAATCCCTTTGGTCAAGGAGAGGGAGAGAGAGGTAAGGGTCTGGTCTTCATTTTTAAGCAGGAAGACGACTACAAACCACCATCTGCCATCTGCCAGGTAATTTTAAACCAGTCCACTTAATCCCCATCAGATTTTCCAGATGCTTTGAATGCAGAGCCAAGGTTGAGAACCACTGATTTAGACAAATATACTATGGGGGAAGGAGAAGGAGGTTCCACCGGCAGAGAGCAACCAGCTGGAGCCATTTGGGACTTAGCACAAAGGACTTCTTGTCAGGGAAATTCACCTATTGAGAGACATTTTGGTTGTTTCCAATTCTGGGCCATTGAAAAGAATACTAATAAGCAAAGTCCCTCTTCTGCTATGAAACTAAGAGTGGGCAGATATTCCCTCTCTGGCCCTTGGGTAACTGAAAGGAGGCTTATGACCAAAGCACAGCACAGCCAATGAAATGATCCTGCTCAGAATACTGACTCTGGAGAAGTGACACAAGATATATGATCAGAGTTAAGGGTTCAGTAGGCCAGTAAGGAGTGCCAGTGGTGGTGGTTCCAGTAGCACAATGGTAAATATCCAGTTTTGAAGGCTCAGGTGGCAGCATCCTAAGCCCACTATCCCTAGAAAGGTGCTGGCTGTGCCTCACCAACCCTCATCCCTATCTCATCCTTGTTCTCCAGCCTCCCATTAAAACTGTGAGCTTCCTAATAAATTAAATTTTGTCATAAATATACCATAATCCATTTCTATTGTTTCTTTCTTTTCTTTTCTTTTTTTTGGAGGCAGAGTCTTGCTCTGTCGCCCAGGCTGGAGGGCTGTGGTGCAATCTTGGCTCAGGGCAAACCTCCAGTTCTCAGGTTCAAGTGATTCTCCTGCCTCAGCCTCCTGAGTAGCTGGGATTCCAGGTGCACGCCACCGCGCTCGGCTAATTTTTGTATTTTTAGTAGAGATAGGGTTTTGCCATGTTGGCCAGGCTGGTCTCAAACTCTGGACCTCAAGTGATCCAGCCACCTTGGCCTCTCAAAGTGCTAGGATTACCGGTGTGAGCCACCACACCCAATGATTTCTATTGTTTCTATCCAAGAACACTGATGAGTATATGAGGACAAAAACACTAATCAAAAAGTCACATACGAATGAATGATTTGAAATGGCCATAAGTGATTTGAAGAAAAGGTGAAATTAATCTGGTCTGGAAGGTCAGAGTATAAAGAATGCTTCCCTTAGGAAGTGACACTGAAACTGAGACTCAGGGTTAATGAGGTACCATGTGGAGGGGTGGAGCAATGGCAGGGTGATGGGTAGTAACCAGGGGAAAGAAGAGTGGGAAGTACATCGCCAGTAGCGTGAGATCAAAATGGCTTTCTTAGCTCTCGTTGGTTTGGAGGGTAAGAAACTAAAGAGGAGGTGATTGAAATGCAGGTGACACATCTTTTTGGAATATTATGATCCTCGTGGAGACTGCATAGTACCATGGAGCAAACCTTACGGTTGAAGATAGTAGACCTGTAGTTCATACACCAAAGAATTAATGAATCACGCATGCCTACTGGAACAAAGGGGTAGGTAGTATACCTGGCCTTGTTTTTTCCCTCTGTGGTGGACATCAGGTGTTTGTGCTATACACTGCCGCCTCCCTTAGAGAACTGCTGCTTCCCTAAATCTTGATCTGGTGAGATTGCCAAGCACAGCTCTCCACTCCCCTGGCCACAGTGAGGGCAGAGGATCTAGGCCTGACCAGTCAGACTGCATATTCCAATCAGCACAGGGGGATCCATGTGAGCACATGGCTCAGACTCAGGCAGGCAGGCTCTGCTCTGATTTTGTTCATTTCGGGCTGGAGAAGAGATCTTTCCTTAACTCCACAGATGACCCCAGTATTCCTCCTGGGATGGATCCTTGCCCACCCAAGAATCCTTTTTTGTTTTGCTTTTTGATTTATTAGGGTTAGTTTCTGTATACATATAAGAAAAAAAAGCTTTTTACTTTTTAACTGTCATTTTATGACCATATAATACATACATATTGTACAAGATTCAAACAATAAGAAAACACATAAAGAAGACCATTTCAGAGTTTCTATCCCTGTCATATATTTTTAGTTTTACTACATGAGGTAGTCTAGAACAATGTGATCTATGATTTCTGAGGGGGACTAGAAGATTTGAGAGGATTTACTGAGGTTTGATAAGGTCCAATATATGACTAATTTGGTAAATGCTTCCTGAGCCCTTAAAGGTATATTCTCTGAAGTTCCAGAGTGCAGTATTTTTCTGTTATGCAAAGTATATCAATTATATTTTTGGCCTTTGTGCTGGGTCTATTTGGAGTATAGAGACAATAGTATCCCTATAACATAAGGTTGTCCTAAGGACTACATATGTTAATATATGAAAAGAGCTTATAATACTGCCTGCCACACAGTAACTATCCCCCAAATGTTAATTGTTTTCATCATCATCTTCATTTTTATTCTCTTTAGATCCAGATATGCATACTTAGAAGCTGACATTTTGGCTGGGTGCAGTGGCTCACGCCTGTAATCCCAGCACTTTGGGAAGCTGAGGCAGGCGGATCATGAGGTCAGGAGATCGAGACCATCCTGCCTAACACGGTGAAACCCCATCTCTACTAAAAATAGAAATAAATTAGCCGGGTGAACCTGGGAGACAGAGGTTGCCGGGAGCTGAGATCGCACCACTGCACTTCAGCTAGGCAACAGAGTGAGATTCCGTCTCAATTAAAAAAAAAAAAAGCTGACATTTTATCTGTCGAGCACCAAAGGAAGTGTGTTTGCACTCTTCAATCTATTTTGTTAATTTCATCCTACATTTGCAGATCATGCTATATATAATCTGAAGTTGGTAATTATGATCATTGTAGATAATCTAGTCAATTAAATAATTCTAATGCATTTGACATTCAATTTTGATATTAATATTATGATGATTTCTTACCTTTGACTGTAGTTCCCTGATATTCTTTCCCATTCTTCCATATTCAGCAGAATCTGTTGCTTTGGTATGTCCCTTAAAGTAGTAAAATTTCACGAAGACTCTTATCATCTTCAAAAACTAAATCATGCTACTCATCCCCTCACATAATTAGCACATTTTTATTCTTCTTCCCCATACTCCCTATTATCTAACTTTCATGGAATGACCTAGAATTGGGGGGCTATCATGTTAATCAAATTATTTATTTTTTATACCACACACATTTCCATGTATTGGTAACATATTGATAGCCATAACACAGTAACTTAGCATTAAATTTGTACATAATAGGACCCACTGCCTCACAACCAGCTCACAGATTTCTTACACAATTTTCCTGATGTTATTTACTTTGATTCATTTTGTGCATTCCTGAAAAACACCTGTATGGTTTTCCAGTAAATCCAAGCATATCCATGCTTTTGCACATCAATTTAGATAGACATGCAGTTTGTGTTGTAGTAAGTGGCCTAATTCTCCTACCTTACAAATGTTTTTCACGTGAAAAACATTCTGATGTTGTTTTTCACATGAAAAGCATTCTGATGTTGTTTTTCAGTTTTTATCTTTTTGTTCCCCTGAACATAGTGAGTACTGCCCACTTCTGGTGTAGTATCTTTTGAGTTTAGGAAACTTTTCTTCTTGTTTCCTCTAAAATGGTGTTCCTGTTACACACATTCTGTCAGTATTTTCCTTTTATCACTTCACAAGACTCTGAATTCTCATTGTCTGATCTCTGTATCTACAATGTTCTCTTTGGCCATTTCCCTTGTTTTGCACTTTCTCTCTGGGTTCTAGGGGATTTTCTTAAGCCTGGTCTCCACATCAGAGGTAGATTTTCCTGGGGCTGATTATACTGTTGCTGTTTCTAGGGTAATGTTAAGTTCTCTAACAAAGAGATCCCTCTCCTTAAATCCTTTCCTTGGTGTTGCCATCTGTTCCTACATGTCTTATCTTTCTCTCCCCTCATTCCAGAGTCCGTGCTCTCCTTAAATGCCCTGAGCAAATACTGCTTCTACTCCTTGGAATGAATCTTCCAGAGCGTGGTCTTTATCACGTGCGTCTGGTGCTCACATACTCTTCCAGTTTGTAGTATTTCTGGAACAGATCTATTAATATTACTTTCTATTCACTTAATCAGAGGCAATTATTCTGCTCTTTTGCTCTCAAACCACTGGGATCATTCACCTGTTCTCCCCTCCCTGTTTACCTGGCTTTTCCCTACATCCACAGCCTGGAATTAGTGCTGGATAACAGGATATTGTAAACCCATTGGTTCTGTTTTTCAGATGCCTGAAGAAGGAGAGAGGACTGGGACTGTGGGTGAGAGTCCTGTTTGGGATTTGTTTATCCAGGAGCTTTTTATACTTGTTGAAAACCCCACCCAGGGGTTGTCATCCTGAGTGAAAGGAGGATATCCTCTGCCACCATATCAGCTGAGAATGTCCATGGTGGGTTCCTAGGTGGGAGATGGGTGCAACTCAGGTTTAAATCAGGACAGCAGCACTTTCGTGAAAAGCCTAGGCACACAGACTCCCTTCATCAGGGAGCTGTTGGTGTGGAGCTTCCTTTTCATGTTTCATGTCCTTCCTGAAGTCCCACTGCTATTCTTGCTTTTAGAGTGTGAGTGCTGCCTTTGAGAAGACTTCTTCTCTGCCCAGCTGGCCCCTGCAGACTGCCTCCAGCCCTAAAGGGAGCATGAACTGCCTCATCTGCCCAAGTCAGAAGGGAAGTGGGGAAGCAGGGAGAAAGCACATGGTTTCTTTTTGCTGGGGCCTTAAGTCCATGGGGGAGTTTCCCATTTTTCCTTTTTCGTCTGCCCTGTCCATACTCCTCTTCCTCAGAACTGAACGTGTTTTAAATAGAATCCCCCAACCTGAGATCTGTCTGATAAGGACCAAGGTCCAGCATTTTTACTCTGGCTCAAATTCTGATGCCATCTAATGATTTGCTTACAGACTAAATTTTCCCCCTATTTTTGACTCCCCCACACCTGTTTGTGCTTCCATTAGAGACAAAGGATTTCAAAACATTTCTGTGAAATAAACTGAAATTGAAACATGGCTTCCCTCTTCTCTTCCCCTCCCTTTGTATGTTTCACTGGCTGGCTCTGAGTGTCCAGGTAACTGGGGAAGGAGAAAGTCACTGTTCCCTCAAATGTTCCAGCCCAGAAGTAGCAGCTTTGCCATATGCTGGATGACCACGGAGGGCTTTGTCTCAGGACAGGGTGGGGCCCAAAGTGTTTATTCTACACCAGCAGCTAGCAGACTCAAGGGAAAAGTGCAATGCTGAGAAGTGGGAACATTTTGCTGATTATGCTGAGAAAGGCAGAAATATGTGTTTGTGGGGAGGCGGCCGGGCCACTCACCTTCCAGGAAACAAAATGTGCTATGAAGCAGGAAGCACACACAGCATCCTGTACTTTCATGTGGCTGGACGCATCTCTGTACGCTTATCCCAAGTGCTGCCTCTCTAACCTCACCACACCAATCACAGCAACATTGCAGAAAAGGAAAAGGAGGCCAAGGGCTTGGCTCAAAGTCACCACAGCAGTTAGTGGGGGTCAAAGATTGCAATGAGCATTTCTCTTCTTCCCGCTCCAGATGATTGGACTTAACAAGGCCAAGGAAAGCTTAAGTGGGTCGTGATCCTTGACTTTCCTTAAACCTCAGCAGGGTGGGAATGGGTAAGAGGAGGAGAAGCATAGAGTGTGAGCTTCTATCACCCACTGCCTGCCTACCCAGGGACTGTAAGGTCTAGGTGGTGAGATGAACTCAAAACTGAAGCAATGAAACACTTTTAGGAAGGCTGCCTGAGAAGAAATCTACTGACTTGGAAGTTATGTTCAAGGGATCATACAGGAAAGTCATGGGCTCCTCAACCATCTCCAGAGACCTAAATAAAAAGCAAATTTAATAAAAATAAGGGACTGATCACTGGAATACTCAAGCAGAGTAAGACTGAGTGTTAAAGGAACCCTCCAAATGATATTAATGTTGACCTGGATTACATCCAGAATGAGTTCTGGGTCCAGAATTGCCTAGGACCGGATCCTCAGGGAAGGGATCTATTAGCATCAATGTCATCAATGGTGAGTGACTCTGATCTCCCAGGCTTCAGGGTCCCTTGCAGAGATGACTGAGAGCCAAGTGCACAAAGCACAGATGAAGCTGCTGCAGGCTGGGACCCCGGGAGCTACTGGAATGTCCATTCCCTGCAGCCTGCCTATACTGAGGTTTAATCTAGATAACGTTTGACAAAAGGTGACATTAAGGAGAAGAATGTAATTTACCCCTCTAGGAGTCTGTCTGTCTACCTAATCTGTACAGCTGCTCCCCCACCAGCCACTCCCATTTTTCCAAGACCAAGGGCTGCCAGTGGGAACCACATTGCTCTGCATTTAGTTTCCAGACCACTGCCTACCCTCCCTTCCTCAAAAGGCCCTTGCCTGGAAGGTGCTATCCCGTCATGCTTGTTTTCCCTTCTGGCAGGTGTCACTGGCCTTGTGGTTCACTAAGGACATTGGCTCCTAGGTCACACTATCCTCCCCAACATCTGCCCTCCAGCCTGGCTAACCCCAGATCTCACCTCTTAAGCCTCTTCCTCTAGCTCTGGCCAGCAACTCCAGGTCATAGCCTTGACTTTGCCTTTTCCTGAGACTGCTCCACCTCTTAATTTCCAAAGCACTCCTGTCTGGCTCAATACACCTCCCCTGCCCAGCCCCTCACCATGCTGGAGTTTCTACCTTGTCAAGACCTCTAATTTCCTAATCCCTCCCTAGTCACCTCCGGTTTTCAGTTTCCATCTTGGTCAGATTAATCCTCAGACCACACATTTCATCACTACAATTTCTCCTGTGCATATCATCTGAATTGCCCCATCTTTCTCTCACCTCCTATACTCCCCTGGAAAAACCCCAACACTGCAGTAAGCATCTCCATCCCAGCTCCTGAATCCTAATGGGGGGAAGACAGGTGCATGCAGATCTCCATTTAACACACACACACCTGAGTGCCCAGCATCCTACTCTAAACTGACCATCTCAGAGCTCAGCCTTGCCCTGCCCTTCTGCTGTTTCCTTAACTTGCTTTTTCACACCAAAGTGAATGTTTACTTCATACCTTCTGAGAACATGCTCCACACACATCTAGCTGCTAGTTTCACTTCATTTCACCAAGAAAGATTCAAATTCTATCATCTTCCCATCAATTTAGCCATCATAATCCTCTATACTTGCCTCATTCCTGTTTTTCTTGAGCCCTGTTGGGCTGCAGGCCTGTCCCTCCTCCTACAAAGGTCCTATCCCTCCTCTTTTCTCATGGATGGTGCTTTTTCAGGGGTCCTCCTCCCGATCCCCCTCCCATCTGTCTCCTCTTGCCATCTTAACTGTTGCTGTCAACATCCACATGCCCTATGTCCCACCTTAAACACTCCTTAACCCAACAGCCCTCTCTAGTGATCATCCTAAGCCCCTTTAGGGCCAGTTTCTCATACCTTCTGCTCCCCCATTTCACTCAACCAATTGAGCCTGTCCTCCATGCCACACTTTTTGAAATTGTTGCCATCACAGTCATCAAACACCTGATGTTACTGAATTCAGTGTACAGTTCTGCCTCCGTTTTACCTAAACCCTCACAAGCACTCTGCATAGTCTACTTTCTAAAAGCAGCTTTCTCTCCTCCTAGTCTCCTTTTACATGCCCTGTCCCTTCACCCAAACTCTTGGGGTTGGGCTTCCTCAGGGCCTTGTCCTGAGCGCTCTTTTTCTCTCTTTATGGATTACCTCACCCAGTCTAAGTTTTTCTATCACCTTTATGCAGACAAATTACAAATTTGTCTTAACCTGCCCAGAATGTCTTCCTTGATCCTGTGTCCTTCAAAAGCTTGTTCCCTCACCCACCAGCCTTTCCCTACATCCTCAATATCAGTGCCTTAAGACACAAACATGAAAGTCATCTTTGAATCCCCTTTCTTCCCTACTCCCCTCCTCCCACAACCAGTCCATCAGTAGGTCTTGTCAATGCCACCACCAATATCGCACGCAATCACATCCTTTCTGCCCATCTCCACTGCCCCTCCCTGCTCCAGATCACCACCATCTGTCATGTAGCTATGTGGAAGCTCCCTCCGTCTCCTCCTTCCTCTACTAGCCCCTTCCAGTCCATGTTCCACACAACATAAGGAGTGACTTCCCCAAAGCATACTCCAAGCCCCTCACATGGCCTGTGAGGTCCTATCTTATCAGACTCCCACCTACATCTCCACCTTAGTCTCCTCTTACTCTGGTGTGCCCACATAGCCTTTTCCATTTATAGACCATACTTTAGTAGGTTAAAGTTGACTACAAGTTATTTGCTAGTCCTCTGCCCTATTCCTCATCGCCCCCATCAAGAAATGGAATCTAATTTCCCTACCCTTGAATCTTGGCTTTATTTATTTATTTATTTAGAGACAGAGTCTCACACTCGGTCACCCAGGCTGGAGTGCAGTGGCATGATCTTGGCTTACTGCAACCTCTGCTTCCCAGGTTCAAGCAACTTTCCTGCCTCAGCCTCCCAAGAAGCTGGGACTACAGGTGTGCTCCACCATGCCCAGCTGATTTTTGTGTTTTAGTAGAGACCAGATTTCACCATGTTGGCCAAGCTGGTCTCAAACTCCTGACCTCAAGTGATCTGCCTGCGTCATCCTCCCAAAGTTCTGGGATGACAGGCATGAGCCACCGTGCCTGGCCTTTGGCTGGCTTTAAATGACTTCCTTGACCAACAGAGTTTGGCAAAAGTTACACTGTGCAATTTCCAAGGGGAGATAGAGGCCTTGCACTTTCTATCATGGTCTCCTGGAATGGTTCTCTGGGAGGCTGAGTCAACATGCAGGAATTTCACCTACTGATACTACCATGTTGGCCAGACCCCATTTGGGAACTCTGGTTCCATGGAACCCCGTCTTTCAGTCATCCCTACCAAGGTGCCAGACCTGTCATTGAAAGTCTCTTTGATACTCCATACAGACCCTACAGGCCAGCTCAATACCATCTGGCATTCTCAAGGCATCTGCATCACAGTCACATGGAACAGAATTACCCACCTGGACCCCATCTAAATTTTGATTCACTAAGTCTTGAAATATAATAAAATGGTTTTTCATGGAAGCACTAAGTTTTGTGATGTTTTGTCAAGATTCTGCTTACCTCAGGCACTTCATGTGTCTTTTTCTAGAATACTTTTCCCACACTCCTACCTGGCTACTTACTTCTCATCCTTCAGTTTAAATGTTCTCCAGGGTGAGCCCCTTACTTACCTAAAAGTAAAAATACCAAAGTGGTTCTATATGAGGTCCTTGTTTATTTCCTTCTTAACACTTAAATAACAAATAAGTAGACCTCAAAATTAAAATGATTAATTTTGCCCTTCCCTATAGAGCAAGGGTTGGCAAACTATGGCCCAGAGGCTGGCCAACTACTTTTAAAGTTTTATTGGAATACAGCCACACCACTTGTTTATGTATTGTTCATGTGCTTTTGACATCATAGAGTTGTAGAGCTGTCAGAAAAAGCATGTGGTAGTGATCCCTGAGCAAAATGATGAAATAGTACTTTCCAGCACTTGTCTCCCTGGAGATCCATCAATTTGAACAAGTATCCATTCATTCAGAAAAATAACTACATGAACTAAGGAAAGCAGGTAATAGATTATAGTATCTATGTGTAACATAGAAATAATAAAAGATATAGTGAAGACAGTAGGAAAGACAGTTTTACATTACCTACATCACCTCTTCCCCAGCTTCAAGCAGCACAGTATATTGAGAGATACCTCCCACTTGGGGAAATGTGCAGGAAGTGAGGAGTGGACTTTGCCTTGGACAAATACCTGACCCATCCAAGTAAAACCCAACACTGCCCAGGCCCCACAGCCTCACACTTTAGGCTGGTACCTGCAGATTAAGCCTCCAGGTCTGCTCCAGTACTAAACCAGATCTCATGGCCCCAAGCCCCAGACTAACCCCAGTGCCAGGGCAGCTCCCATAGACAAAGGTTCCAGGCCCGTCGCAGGGCCATGTTGGTCCTGTCTGCTCCGGGCTCCAGACCACTCTAAGCACTGGGGGGCTAGTCCCCATAGCTTCAAGCTTTAGGGTTTCCCTTGTGGACTCAGGCTCCAGGCCTGCTCAGTGCCAGGCCATTTTCTGTATGCTCACTTTCTAGGATAGACCACGTGTCCCCACACTCCAGCAGACCTAGGACACAGGCCAGCCCTTGTGGACCCAGTTTTCATGTCAGTAACTGCATACCCAGCTTTCAGGCCAGCCCCCATAGCTACAGGCTCCAGGCCAGCCCCCATGGCTCCAGGCTCCACATTAGCACCCAGGATCCCAAGCTTTAGACCAGCCCTTGCAGTTTCAAGCTCCATGCCTGACCCAGCATCAGACTGGGCCCAGGCTCCAGGTCAGTGCTCATGGCTCCAGTTTTGACCCACAGTTCAGGCCTGCTCCAGCAAACCCAGAGTCTAGACCCCAGCCCAGCAGACCCTGGTGCCAGGGTGGCAAGGTTCCAGGACCACATCTATAGGCCTAGACTCCAGACTAGGCCTTGTGGACACAAGACCCAAGATAGCCCCACCAAGGACTCAGGTTCCAGGCCCACCCCAGTGTCAGGCCAGTCCCTGTATACTCAGGGTACAGGCCCATCCCAGTGGATCCAGGCACCCATTCCCTGCCAGTGCTTGGCTGGCCTATGCAGACTCAGGGTCAAAGTCTATACTAGTTCCAAGTCAGCCCCTGTGGACCCAAGCTGCAGGCTAGTCATTGCAGAAGTAGGCTCCAGGCCTGCCTTCATGGACCTAGCCTCCAGGACCCCACTTTCTGACCCAGACACCAGATAAGCCTATCTGAGGAGTCCAGCAGCAAACCTCCCTGCAGACCATGCCAGATGGCCTGCCCAGAATTTCTGGACAGGCTGGTTGGTAAAAGGCTGCCCCAGATGACACAAGCTTGAAAAGACTGGAATAAGTCCCTGTTTTTTCAAATGTGTGGATATCAACACTCAGCCACAAGGATTCAGAGCAATCAGGGAAACATGATCCACCCCCAACTCCCTCCCTGCAAAGAAAAGAACCAGTATCCAAACTAAAAAAGGAGACTCATCATCTTCTTGACAAATCAAAATAATTATTTTAAGGAAGCTCAGCAAACATCAAAACACTACAGATAGATAATTCAATAAATGAGGAAAATAATAACCAAGAGATTAGAATTATATTTTTAAAAATTCAGAAATTCTAGGGCTGGAAAATACCAGGAATTAAACAAAAAATGTAATAGAATATCAACAGCAGAACTGATCAAGCAGAAAAAATAATCTATAAACTCAAAGAGAGTTTATTTGAAAATATATAGTAAGAAGAGAAAAATTAAAAGGAATGAAAAGGAATGAAGAAGCCCCGTGGGATTTATGGAGCAGCATCAAAAGAGGAAATATTGAGTTATAAGAGCTCAAGAAGAAGAAAAGGAAGAAAACAGGCTAGAAAGTATATTTAAAGAAATAATAGCATAAAATTTTCCAAATCTGGGGTCAGGAAGGTGAAAGATCTCCAACAAGATTCAATCTAAACAAAACCATACCAAGATACGTTATAATCCAGCTATCAAAAATCAAAGCAAGGAGACGATCCTAAAAGCAGCAAGAGAAAAGAAAAGAAATAACATATAAGGGAGCTCCAATAAGGTTATCAGCAGATTTCTTAGCATAAACCTTACAGGCCGTGAGAGAGTGGGATGATACATTCAGTGTTGAAGGAAATAAATGCTGGAACAATAATGCTGTACCTGGAAAAACTGCCTTCAAGAATGAAAGAGAGGGAAAAAACTTTCCTAGACAAAGAAAAGCTGAGGGACTTAATTATTATCA